GTCCTGTGCTCTTCCTGCACCTGTGTGCTGAGGAAAGACAGTGTGTAGAACAGGCAGCCCAGTTCTTGAATGCCTGGGATTGGGTACGATGCATATCATTTTCACTCACACAAGTCCTCTGGTTCTTTATTGATGCTTAAAAGTCAGCCAAAACGTAGTGGCTTGGAACCCTAGCAACATTTGTTTTGCTCCCAAGTTTGCAACTGAGCAGGGCTCAGAGGGAACAGCTGGCTGTGTCCACTTGTGTCTTCCCGGCTAGCTCTAGGCTGGATGGAGACTGCAGTGTTTAAGGTGCTGAGTTCCCTGTACCTGAGGCTGGTGTCTGCTGGGATAAACTGGCTGCAGCTGGAGCTCCTACCTGTGACCATTCCATGTGGTGCCCGGCCACTTCACAGCATGGTAGCCGGGTCCCCAGGGCAAATGGCCCAAGCAGACTGGCTGGAAACTGGATCCCCTTTTATGATGTGGGCTGAGAAGCCCCACAAGCCCATCCAGAGTAAAAGAGGGACAACCTCGCCCCCGCTGGCTGCTGTCCTGAACTAATACAATCTGCTGCCACGCCACTGGTGAGAACTGAGCACATGAGCCCACCTCGTTGCAACAGCCAGAAAATACAGTCCAATCTGGGCAGCCATTTCAAAGTGACAACGATGGCAGGAAAGCCTGTTTGGTTGTGGCCGGCAAACTTGGCCTCTTGGAACAAAGAGCCCTTTTGTTTCATGAAAGGATGCATTGTGATGCTCACTGGTCAAATGGAGACATCTGCAGAGACATTTCAGAGGGTACTGGCAAAGAAAGCAGTGCCATGCCGCGAGCACTTCAGTATCTACTTGACAGAACAGTTGCGACCATGTGGTTGGGATGGCTCCTGATTCTCTCTGCCCTGAACACATCCATATGGCCACAAGCTCAGCGCGCCAGCTGCAGAAACCTAGCAAGGTGGACCCATGGACCTGGGTTCTGTCCTCATCAGAGATCCTTTCTGCACCTCCACTGGCTCCTGCACCATGAAACGTCTCTGATTTCATGGAAGGAAAGTACTACCGTAAAAAAAATAAGGTTTCAGGCCAGGGATTTGGCTCAGGTTCTGCCGCCTGCCTCACAAGTGCAGGGGCCCGCCCGAGTTCGATCCCCGGTACCAAAAAAAAAAAAAAAAAAAAAAAAGTTTCTCTTAGATTTAATGCATCCACTTAAATTTAATGCACATCGACTATGTGTTAGGCACGATGATGAGGACTGGAGAAATGGTGAAAACAGAAGGGCGAAGTTCCCACGCAGAGGATTCGTGCCAAGTTCCACCTGCAGTCGGGAGTGAGCATGCCACTGTGCAGAAAGAGAAGGTGGATGGGTGAGAGTGTAGTGACTGCTGAACCACTGCTGGCTGCACCAATTAACCTAATTAAACCACCTCAACTGGCTAACTACACGCTCCCTATGTCAGATGTGTAAATCAGCGATGGAGGATGAAATGATAGGGATCTTCTTGCTGTACACTTATCTCAGGGCAATTAATTATAACAGCCTGGAATGGAATGGCATTTGTGCCTTGGAAGATGGAGGCAGCTGAAGGAATTATGTATGTACTGCTGCAGCTAATTTGCATGTAATTGTAATCGGCATTCACTTAGGGTCCTGGCAGCTGAGCTGCGTGCTGTCAGCGAGACACTTGAGCAGATCACGGAGTGAGTGGTTCAGGGACGTTGACTGCATTTGTAACAAGTGGCACTTTGGCATACAAGAAGCGTCTTTTCTCAGAAAAGAAACAAACCATGAAAGAAATGTCAAAATCAGGAATGGAGAAAATCGCTGGGTGCTTTCAGAAAAGCTTCTCCCCATCCACCCCTGGAAAAAAAAAAAAACTCAGACCTTCTTTTATCCTTCCTTTCAGCTGTAGCAGAACTAAAGCATGTTTTTCTAAATTGGCAGAGAAAGAGTGGTATTTGAACAAAGAACACATCAACTGTGGGACAACTTCATAGGAAGAGTGTAACAGAAAGAATAAGGAATGCAGAAGCCCGAACCCTGGCTGGTTTGATGCCTGTCAAAGGAGAAGTCTTCATTGGTCATTTGGGGAGATTAATCCTTGTTTTTCAAGAAGTTGGGAGCCACCTTATGGGATGGGCCTCCTTTGAGTGCAGAAGATCTAACTACAGAATCAAAAGACTGAGGAAATATTCAGAGGCAGGATTTCTATTCATTTGTGTACTGACCCTTGGAAGTACTTACCTAGGGTGTCTGTGGACAGAAGCTGTTATGCCACTTTTCTAAACATGCCTGGAATTTCTCCGAAGAGACAGAGGCATTTCTTATGAGTATAGTAATTTAGAGGCTACTCTGCAGAATAAGATAAATATACAAGCTGAGTCTAATCTATAAGGGGTGATCAAAATAGTGAATATTTAAATTAAAATGAGTCATGACCTAAAGCACACATTAGCATCAATCCCTCCTAAAACTCTCCCCGCTCCTTGAGCACACTCGTCCCATTGCTCCTGCCACTTTCTGAAGCAGTTCTGGACGTTCTCTTTCCTGAGTGTCTTTGCTGTGCCATCAAGGCTGCTTTAATATCCCGAAGCGATTCAAAATGTTTCTTTTTCACGGTCATTTTGACTTTGGGGAAGAGCCAGAAGTCACAGGGTACCATATTTGGTGAATAGGGTGGGCGAGGACACAGTGTGGTGTTCTTCTGAGGCGCCTTTCTGTGGGATGGCATTCAGTAACAGCATTGATTATATGTTTGCTCACATCTTGTAGGCACGTGGTAGATGAGTGTGTGTGTGTGTGTGTGTGTGTGTGTGTGTGTGTTCACAAAGAAGATGTGCCATAGTACACTGAGAATGGTTTTCTTATGTGGATTTTAAGCTAGCTTGTGAGGCATTTCTTTAACAGTGTCACCCAACTTGGCTTAGCTCATGGAGGTCCGTGACTAACACTTCTCTTGCTTATGTGGGCATGGGATTCTTTCTCTATATGTCTTTAGTAACAACCTTTGCAATCGTTATTCCTTAAAACATTGCTTGGAAAATGCTAAACTGCAGAAATTGCAATGAGAAAGACTTGCTAGAATGTAAGGCAGAGCTAGTAGGGGCGTGTGGAAGACAGGGAAAGTGGGCATTTGTCTGTTTCCCTGTCCAATGTGCCAGCAAAAGAATGAAAAAGAAACCTTCAGATGTGGTATGAGACAACAGTGGGTAGGATTACAAAATGTTCCTGGTAAAAGAGAAGCCCAGGGGCAGTAAAATGACCTAGGAAAATGGAAGGGGATAAGCCCAACTTTGGAGAAAAGATACTGTACGGAGGTGAGCAGGTTCACTGATGGGACCCAGGGAGGCTCAGAACTTGGAGACACAGCTCTGAAACAGTGCTCGTTAGCTGAGCGGCTGAGATAGTGTAGCCCACAGAAAATCTGCCTTAAGAAAGGTTAGGTCTCCAAGCAAATTCCCCTTTCTACCTTTTTCCCATCAAGAACAAGAAGTTTATTTTTCTTTGTGGGGAATTGAACCTGAAAAGACTATTATAAAAAAACAATTATAGAAGCAAAACAGAAAATTTAAAAAATGTCGGTGAGAACATAGAGAAATTTTAACCTTTGTGCCTCTCTGCTGGGAATGGGGGATACTGCAGTCACTGGGGAGAACGTTACGATAGTGGCTCAAAAAATTAAGCAGAGTAAACACACAATCTAGCAATTCAACTCCTGACTTGAGCTATGTTTGTATTCCAATGTTAATAGCAACATAACCCACAGCGGCCAAAAAGGTAGAGTCATCCGAAATGTCCATAGATGGATAAATAGGTAAATGAAATGTGACATGTGATACCAAGAAGTCTTTTGCAGACCTAAAAAAGGAATGAAGTGATGAGGCACGCTACCATTATGTTAGGCGAGGTAAGTCAGACTCAAAAGGAGACACGAGGAATCTGGGGTTGTCAAATTCATAGAGACAGAGAGTAGAGCTGTGGTTTCCAGGTATAGAGACAGAGAGACACGAAGAGCTATTGTTCAGTAGGTTCTGCATTCCCGTAGGCGATGATGAAAAGGCTGGAAATGGCTGGTGACAGTGCCTGTTCCACACAGGGGATGTACTTCCTGTCCTTGAACTGCCCACTTAAAAATAGTCACAACGGCCCTTTCATGCTACACATATTTTGCTATAATTTTCAAAAGAAGAAAAGGAAGTAATCAAAAATCAAGAAGGCAATCGTGGGACTTAAAACTAGCATTTTACTAGAAAGGTGAGAGAAGAAGGTAAGAAAATGTCCGGGGCTGGGGGGATAAAAAGGATAAAAGGACAAATGGATAATAGGAAATGAAGCATCAGAAAATCATAAATTGATGAGAAAGCCCAAGATCAGACCAAGAGAAGTCCCAGAAACAGGAGGAAGAGAGAGAGAGAGAGAGAGAGAGAGAGAGAGAGAGAGAAAGAAAATGGAATGTATAGCATCATCAAAAGATTAATACAAGTTAGCCGGGTGTGGTGGCAGATGCCTATAATCCCAGCACTCGGGAGGCTGAGGCAGGAGGATCGCTGTAAGTTCGAGACCAACCTGGGCTACATAGTGAGTTCCAGGTCAGTCTCAACTACATGGTGAGACCCTGTGTCAACCACCCCCCCAAAAAAGATTGATACGACAAAACTTTCCAGAGCTAAAGGACAGAAGTGAGACCAGGAGACAGAGGGACAGTAGGCCAGTGAGGGCCAGGGTCTGAGTAAACTGGGACAAGCCTCGGGAAATTAGAACGCCAGGGACAAAGGCCTAACTGGAGCACAAATGACAAAGGACTAATACAAGTCTGCTTTCCTGATGACAGGAAGCCTAGCAACAGCACCTGCACACCTTCAGTCTGAAAACCGCACCAGACGACACCTGTCAATGCCAAGCTGCCCCTTTTCCACAGCCACCAAAGGCTGCAGAGAAGCCCCTAGATCTAGGTGCCTCCAGCTTGCCCTGCCTTGGAGCCCCTCCGGCTAGTGAGAACTTTTCTTTGTTCTTTCTAGTAAACCACACCTGGCTCATCCCCCACTACGGTCCACAGCCCTCATTCTTCAGTGTCTACTGAACTACTGGATCCAGCAGGAGTAACTGCGCTACACAAGTGCCGAGATTGAGAGGGTCTTCATTCTGCTCAGAACAATGTAACAAAGATGGAAAAAAAGGCCCACCCGGAAGTATAGTATCATGGGACTTGTGATAATGAAATAATGCTAGAAAATTCCAAAAACCTGATCACACACAAAGGGCTGGGAAGGAGAATAGCACTGCATTTTTCAGTAGCAATACCACGCACCAGCAGACAATGGGTCAATACCCTCAATATGCCAGTGCAGAATTCTAACCTTGTTTGATCGTAAAAATATGCTAGTAATCTTGTTACAGTCTGCACCCAATTCATGTGTGGTTATGGGTTCCCTAAGGATCTGGTCTATAGGCTAACCAGAAAAAGAAAGTATCTGTGCTATCAAATACTTTTAAAAAAGCATTTTCAATTCATGCATTCTTTAGCACAGTGCTTAGGGAGTCTTGGAGTAGCAGAGAAGAAATTCAGGAAGTGGTGTAACTTCCTTTTGTCATTACCCGTTTGTGAGTCCCTGCATCCTAGATTCTGTGATTTCTGTTCTTGGGTTTCCTCTCTCACTTGGTAAGACTACATCCCCCAGTGACTTAGGGAAATGGAAAATTTGAGTACCTGCATATCAGCAGAAGTCTTTATTCTGCATTTAAATTTGGCAGGAAATAATCTAAGAAACAGAGGGGAGCTCAGAGATGACAGCTGTGCTTGTCTTTTCCCTTGCAGGTCAAAGTTTGCCCCACGAAGGCTTTCTGCAGCCTGACACACCGGCCTCACTATTCTTTCTGTGTGAGATCCTACCCGCTACACTGTTCTCGGCTATAAAAGACTCTAACACACATGCACACAGTGAGATGGTCTTTTGAGACAGATGGACCCCTCCATTTCCTTGCAGCTAGCCTTGAACAAATCTGTTGACCTTTTTACCAAAAAGAAATGTCCTCTTTGGTTTGGTCAGCTGTGAGAAAACTCAGGAGTTTGCGAGGTTGAAACAAGCTTCCCCCGTGGTCCAGGTCTCATGCGTTAGCAGGCAGGAGAGGAGGTGGAATAGGAGCCTGGGTACCAGGGTCAGTGCTGAGCTCTCAGCTGAGGGTCTGGGAGATTTTCCTCAGCACAAGACTTGGGGAGGTGTTGCAGTAGCAGAGGAGGAAAACAATGAAGCAGCTCAGTCTCCTTTTGCCAGGACCCTGTTTGCGGGCCACGGCCTCCTAGGAACATGAAGAGTGGTAGGCGCTTTGCAGACAACAAAAATGGGGGTAGTGCAATTGAGCAGATTTCCCTTCCGGCTCCCGATCAATCGCCCTCTCTGAGAAGCAGCTATCATAAGCAGCTCAGCTTGTAAACACTGGGAATTCCCATTAATCAGGGAGCGTGGGCCATATTTCCATTTGAGTCTAAACGCAGTTGAACAAAATCTCAGGTCAGGGAAAACAGACTTGACAGATGGTTTTGCTGGAAGGCCATGGCTTCTTGAGTTTCTTTTCCTTGCCCAGCACCTGTATATCTGGCACTCAGCAAATGCTCTCTGAGTGCGCATGGGCACAGAACACCAGCACACTTACGTGGGTTGAGGGAACCATATAGGAAAAAATATCTCATCAGGTGAACCCGCTGTTCGCAAACCTCAGCTCGCACAAACATCCTGTGGGGAGCCTGTGAAAGGTGCCCATCTCGGTTTCCAGGGCTGGACCCCCAGCCTGGGCACCAGGCTCCACACTGAAGTTTCCAGTTTAGTCGATCAGGGTGGAGCGAAGAATTTGCATTTGTAAAGCAAACATCTTGGGTGATTCTGGAGCAGGTGGCTGGGTATCACCACAAGGGGACTGCTGTGAGTTTTGGTCACATGTGGCACATTGCTTTACGGATTTGAAGGTAGCAAATGGTCATGTTTTATGTTCACTTGAGGCAAGGGCCACACCTAGCACTCACAGCTGCAGATACCAAACTTTCCTTCCTAGCTGCACCATCTTGGAGAGGAACTTCCTATAGAAAAAGGAACTTGATCACTACAGTGATAAACAGTGCACAGAATGAGTTATCCAAGTGGTACTGGCTGAGAAGGGTGAACGTCCCAGTTCACTCCCCAATGACCCTTTCATTCCCCAAGCATTTATTAGGCTCTTGCTCTGTGGCAGGCACCGTGCCCGATTCTGGAGATAACAGGTGTTATCCTTAACTGTGTCAACCTGCACTTCCTTTGAATAAAGATGCAATTGTGTTCCCCACAAGTGAGACGAGAGGGCTGGAAGAAATTGTGGGGAGCAGGCAAGAGTGCGTTGGAGACATCCGCCTGGAAAGATCGCGCTTGTCCATTGACATCAGTGGAATTGTGTTGAGAAACCTTATATTTTCTTAAGATCCAGTGCTTCGAGGCAGTTTGCTGCTCTAATCACTTCGGTGGGAATGGATGTCCCATGTGTGCCCGGAGGACTGGGGCTCTCGGTTCACTCTGACACAGGGAGGAGGCTTCATCTCGAAACCAGGTGAAACTGCATTGCACAGTTGGCTTCTCTTTGCAGTTTCCAAGGAAACCGGGCCCTGAGTCTGCTCCTTAGATCTGGTGTTCCTAACAGAATCTACAAAAGGTTAGAAAAAAAAAACCAGCAAGTCTCCTGAGGCTACAGCAGAGCTTCGGAACGAGAGGCCAGCTCTATCCTTCTGAACGATTGCTGCGTTCTCACCTAATGGAAGCTTCCTCCCCAGGGATCCCCTCAGCCCCACTTCATTCTCGTGCCACCCGAGTGATGACCGCCTTCAACCCAGTTCCTAAACTGCTTCTGCTTCATTGAATTGTTTTCCTTTCCCTAGTCTCTCTGAAAAACCATTCTTGCCACTCTCAGATCCCGCAATAAGGCCCCGGCTCTTTTCACAGGTCCCTGTGGGTTCCATCGCCTTGTATTAGCCAATAAGTCGAGTATCGGGGGTCACAGATACCAAATGAGTACACGGGTAAATGTTTTACAACTAGGCTTCTGGGGGGAATTAGTAATCAAAATCCCTGACTCGTACTGTTCTCCAGGCCAGTTTCTGTGGTGTAAATGCTTTCATTCCGGCCAACTTCAGGCTGCCAAGACTTCACCCAGCATGGGGTTGGGAAGAGACCCCCGCAGCCAGCTTTTGGGAGCGTGGTACCATTGGCTCCAACACGTGCTGCCCCCTCCCCTTCCACCTTCCTCAAACAAGAAATTCGTTTTTTCTCAATGAGTTTTCAGAATTTTCATTTTCCACTGAGTAACTTGTGCTTTTTATTTTCCTCCCGAGTTGTGAAGGGAATCAGGCACCTGGACAATTTATAAGCCAGTTCTGGGGATTGTCGTGACTCAGATAGACCTGACAGAGAGACCTTTCATGTAGAAACTGGCAAATGGCAAAAAGCCTAGAGATGCAGAGACCGATGAATGCCTACTTATTTCACGGGAAGTGGCTTTATGTCTAGGGCAGTGGCCTTCTGGTTTCATCCTAGAGAAGGGAAAACCCTATCTTAGATATCTATAGCAGCTCATCTTGCTTTGGCCTGGAGTTAACCTAGAAAGCCTCCAGAAAGACCTGAATCTTCTATCTTTTTCTTTCCCATTCAGTTTATTGGTACATTTAAAGCAAACAATACAGTTGCATTTATCATTGGGATCTTGTACCTTTACATGATAGGTCTTGGTTCTTGTTTTTTCCCCATACCCTTCTATCTTAAAAGGAAATTATCTTTGTGAAACACCCAAGAAATAATTGCAGATAATGCTCCATGATCTGACAGCCGCAGTTGAACCTCTTGGCTGAGCAATGAATTCCCTATCTGCTACTACAAGACATCATTATGCACTGAGCTGGCGAATGGATAATGAAAAGACTTAAAAATTGTCCCGTAGCAAAGAAGCTCCTTTCTTAGCCCGACTGGCCCCCAGAGCAGGGCCTTAGGGAACAGAAACTGAACTCCATGCAAATTTCAAACCAGATAACCAAGGGCCTCTTCTCATCCCTTTGGAACTTGCGGAATGTGGAAACCAAAAAGCCAAGAGACAGAGAGAGAGTGTGTGTGTGTATGTGTGTGTGTGGGCTCTTCAGTTTGATGGACAAAGAGAAACACTCACTCTCTTTGAGTGTCTGGCTCAACAAATGTCTGCAGTTTACTTCCTGTGAAAGTCACAGTCTTCTGAAGGAGCCTGGTATGGAGTCGGTCACTTATTTCTTTGCTCTCAGACCTAATCTTAGGCTTTTTCCCCAAAGCTGCATTTCCCAGGTTTCTGTGCACCTGGCTTAAGGCACTGGCAGCTCTGGAGCATTGAATTTGGTGGGTGCTAAATGGTCACCCCCTTCCCTCTCTGCTTCAGTTGGTGGCCCAGGGAGGTTTGTCTATTGGACTCTTGCAACAGCCTGAGTTTTACCTTTGTTCCTCCAGCCCTGTGACTTTCAGCAGCTTCCCACTGTAACTAAAACCCAACATTCCCCCTTGTTGGCATATCGACTCTCTCAGTACCTTTCCAATAACGAGATTATTATACTAAATCCCTGGTGGCGAAGTACCTGGAGAGGGTGTTATTCATTCCCTACGGGCTGACAGATACAGAAAGTAAGTGGACGGAGTTAATGTGACCCCCATGTAGATGAGTCTGTGCAGGGCCCTTGGGACATGGAAGAAGGCACTTCCTCACTTGTGGGCATGATGCCCATAGTGCATGGGAAACTTGAGTTGTACCATTACGGGTTGGTAGGAAATTCCATGGAAATCAGAAGAGGAGGAAGCAAGCTGAGAGAAAGCCTCTGAGGCATTTGCACAAAGCATGGCACTGGGACAGAGCAGAGTGTCAGCCAGTCAGAAACACTGATTAATGGTTCAAGCACAAAACAGGCAGGCCACTCAGAGCTTAGATATTCAGATTCTTGTTTCTATGATACCTGAGTCACCACCACAACTCACCACTGCCATTGAGGCCCCAGATTCCCTCAGAGAGAGCATGGGAAGAATACTATGGGAATATTGGAAAAGTCAGGACCGTGTCCTACTCCTCCACCAAAAGCCAGCTCTTACCTTACACCAGATGCCTGGGTCACCTAAAGTCTTCAGCTGTAAGGTGCTCTACTCTTGGAAACCAGACAGTTTTCTTCTGGAAGATTCGCTTCTTATTGGCCTCCTTTCTGTGAGGGTGAAGTCTTCTGAAGCTGGGGATCCAGGCCAGGCCAGCACTAGAAATAGCGCAGGGCACATCTGTTCACTCTTTTCTTTTTTTTTTTTTTTTTTTTTTT